AGCCCCAGAGGGCCCCCCCCCCCTCTAAAAAAAAAAAAAGAGGATCACATGTGTTGCCAGGTTTTGTCCATGGACTGAATGTGCTCTTTGGCCTTCATCCTGAGTGCCGCAATACTGGAGTTCCTGTCGTCCTCCATGGGGAATTTGTCATTGAAGCTAGGCGGGCACTGGTACGGCGGCGGCCCCCCCATGGACTGCATGCCCTGCACCAGGCTGGGCGGCGCTCCGCCGAGGAAGCCGTGGCCCGCGAAGGCCGGCTGCAGGCTCTGCGGCGAACCCACGAAGCCTGAGATGGCGTGCATGGGTGTCGCGTTGGAAATGGGCGAGGTGAGCCAGGGATCCAGCGGCATGGGGTTGGCCACCGGCCCAACGCTGGGCGCCATCGGGGGCCGGTTGAAGGAAAGCATGGGAGAGTCGTGCAGCTTCATTGTCGTGGAATCGATCTTCTCCTGACGTCGCCACTTGGCGCGCCGATTCTGGAACCACACCTGGACGCAGAGAAAGAGTTCAGTCATGGGGACCGGTAGAAAGTCGACTTTTAGTTTTGCAGGATTTGTGTGTTAGAGCCTAAGAGAGCCATAAGCCGTCCAGGTTCCATTCAAAAAGGCACCAAACCCGAGGCACTGGAACTCCGTCTCTAAACGTGTGGCTTTGAACGGGAGGTCTTCAGTCAAGTCCCGAGAGTCGACGGACTTGACTTCAGACCAGACAGGGGCAGGACTTAGGCTTAGCACTAGAATAAATGATCATACAACAAAAAATGAAAGCCTATCCCATCTGACTTTTTGAGCCTTCGGCCTCATACCTTCCAAACTGGTCGCCACTCAATTGATACTTTTGTTTTTTGGGTTTTTTTGTATTTCCCTTAAGTTCTCTCAAGCAAATTTTCTCCTAAATGAACACTGTTGATGAATTTTTTTTTCCACCCAGCGCTTGTACATCTTGCAGCAGCCGTCATCAAGGCCACTTAGCCAAACTGTCATTTATGTTTGCGCTCGTGGCCAACTGGACAAAGGATGGCAGACAGCAGATGCTGGCCACGGTGCACGCAAGCAACGGCCTAAAAATAGCGCCGCCATTTGGGTTGATGCGGGCAATCGAAAACAAATCCAATTCTTGATGCCGTCCACAAACTTCCACCTAAGTTGATGAAGTCGAGCCTGGGGTTGTAAATTTTAGACCTGGACTTTGTATTTCCTACAAGAGAACGAACAGCTAATTCGAAGCAATTTTGATTTGTTGAGACTCATCAAAGGCGATGTGATGGAATTTGGGGCTGGTTTTCAACAAAAGAATGGCGATCGATCCAAACCTTTCAGAGTGCCCTTGAGCAAGGCACTAAACTGGCAACTACGCTGGAGCACAGTAGCTCACTCGCTACAGTTTTGGCTTTGAAAGAGCATTTCATCATTTAGCGCGCACTGTGCTCCGACATGTGGAACTTGGTCCTGATTGCTCGAACCAATGGCACATGAAACTGCAGAAGTGCCCATGAGCAAGGCACCGAACCTCTCTCCCTTGCTTTGCTGCATGCTCGCTGCATCTGGGAGGGCTTCGCTTTGAACCATAGGTTTGCATGATTCCCATTTGTTATGGCCTAAAATGTGAAAGTTGGATGCGCTGCCAAAGTTTCCCTGAGCAAGAGGCCGAACCATCATCTAATCAAAAGAACTTTAACCTCAGACCGACCGGTTGCGGTTTTAAGACCTACTGTGAAAATAAACATTGGGAACTCGCAACGGATTGCCAGAGAGCTAAATCTCGAAGGACTTGTTTTTCGACAAAAGGGTTGTGGGTTGAAGGCCCTGGTCCCAAATGTTTTGGGGAAGATGATCTGTTCGGGCCTTACCTGCACTCTGACCTCGGGGAGGTTGACCTTCATGGCCAGCTCCTCACGGCTGTAGACATCCGGGTAGTGGGACTTCTCAAAGGCGCGCTCCAGCTCGTGCAGCTGGTAGGTGGTGAAGGTGGTTCGGTTCCTGCGGTGCTTCTTCTTGCCGTGCTCTTCCTCTACAATGACCTTGGGTGAGTCCTCAGCCAGGTCCTGTTGCATGCCGCTCATGCCTCCGTCGCACTTGTCACTGGAGAAGAGATCTGATGCTGAAAGGATGGAGAACGTTGTTGGATGAGTTGAAGAGCTAAAACGTGTCCCGCCAATCATTTCTGGTTCCAAGGAGTAGTGAAATCTGACGGCTGTCCTTGGCGGTGGGTCCTTACCGCGGGGGGTCTTGGCGAGCCCCAAGTGACATGACATCTTTCACTGAATTCCCCCCTTCGAGTAATCCCACAGGACCAGATGCTACCTAGCAGTTAAATCCCACTCTAATCCTGCCCTGCAGTCCGCATTGTGTCCGCTAAAAACTAACTAAGACGTTTTAAGACAAGACGGGACAAGGGACCGACTTGTGATGATGACATCATGTCACAGTAGCTCGATTAGAGAACCAAAATATTTTGAAACAGCCCAAACGGGATGACGCAGCGCATTTTGATTGTCTGTTTTACGAGCGAGATTTTGAATACCGCTTTTTACAGGATACGCTAAATCGTATTTTCCCGTCATTACCTATGACGGGAAAATGGAACATTTGGGACACGTTGTGGCCGACGACTGCCTTGCATTTGCTGTTTAGGAATACAATCTGCCACTTTTTCATCAAACCACTTTTGGAACCAGATTCAAAAGGTTCATGAATGCAAAAAAAGTTTGAATGTCCCAAATATTCTTAAAACCTTTTATTTGTGCTATTTTTATTTTTTAATGTACAGATATTGAAAACATTTTTGTATGATTTCATATAGCAAAGAACCATATTTAAATTCAACTCCAAACATTTGACATCACATGTTTCACTTGGCAGTAGAATCATGTGACTCCTCCCAGCCAATGGGAAAATAATGATAATAATAATTAAAAAGTGTATCTACTTGCATTTTTTTGACACATTGTTTTATGCCAGTATTCCAATTTTGCTTCAAAGAACTCTTGTCACCATAGTCCGTGTTCCCAAGTTTGCCGGCCTTATGATGATTTTACAAAGAATAATTTTTAATAGTTTTACAGTTACAAATGTATCAAAAGACACATTTTTATGTGTGTTTATTTTCAAATCAATCTAATAATTTTTTTAAAGAATTTTAACCTTTTGGCACTAGAGTCAAAGTGTTCACTTTAGTTGGAGTCCACCCAAAAAAAGAATCATCATTTTGTTGCAAATATATTTTCCTTTTTATTTTTTTTTGTGATCTTGTTTTTAATCAATTTTTATTATTATTTTAAGATTTCTTTTTAAATACACTTGTATTGTCGTAGACTAATCCTGCATCAGAGCCTTCCGAGGGTTCATAGACCAAAAACGGCAACCCTCTTAGATTTGCCCCACGACGTTCCTAAACGGAAGTGAAGCACATGGTTTCACATGACTTTATTCCTCCGATATGCAGCGCTCACCATGATAGGAGGATTGTTGGGAGTTGTCGGCCAGTTCCGAAAGATGCCCGTACGGATCGTGCTTGTCAGGAAGTTGCAAGTTTTCCCGCGTGGCTTTCTGCCTGCGCTGGCCGTCTTGGGGGTGGTGGTGGTGGTGGTGGACGCCGTGGTGTTGGAGCAGAGAGTCCTGCTCCTTGGCGAAGCCGAGGATTACATCGATACTGTGCACCCTGCCCCCAGCGCTGGATCCGCCGGCGCCTTTTGCCATGTCAAAGTTGTCCAGGCAACCGTCTTCCGCCATTGCCAGGGTATCCATTGACAAATGCATCCGACCGAGCCTTTTTTTTGGGGGGGTGCGCTTCGGACGCTGGCGCAATGGATGGCCACTCGGGTCACTTTGCGCTTTCTCCTGCCGGGCCCCGGTAGATGGACATGTTTTTCTTTCAAGGAAAAGGAAGCATTGAGAGATGGTCTTGGACTCCCAAGAAACAAGGTTCACCTACATTTGCTTCCAGTAACCGGCTATACCTTGCCTGTAATATCAAAGTGTTCTACTGACACTATCCGGTTGCGAGTGGCACTTGTTGCTCCACCTTAAGTCCTTCAAATCCGCCCCCCCTTCCCCCCCACCTGCTGCCGCCTCCGCACCAAGTGAACAAATGCGATGACGGCGTCCCGTCTTCCACCGCCAAACCAAACACTCCGTAAATTAAAAAAAAAAACAGTGGACCGCGAAAAGGAAGACAAACGGAGGAGGGATTAAGAGGTATATTCATTTGGATCCTTCCCCTTTAAGAATGACTGACAGTTGTTTTCTGCCCAAGTAATTGCTCGGAGCCTCATCTGCCTAACAGCCTGGCAAATATCCATAGTGGGCCGCCATCCCACTCATTGTTCACTGCCTCTCATTAAGAGCAGCCGAGTCAAGAAAAACAAGTCTTACAGTACTGGAGGTACTTTGAATTTAATGGTTTTTTTTTTTGTTTTGTTTTGTGTTTTTTTTTGTTTTTTTTTTTTTGCACGTGTAATGAATACTTGCATTCGAGCTCCAAACCATTGAAACCTGATTGGGCTCATTTCTGTCATTTTTTTCAAAGATGATGCAAACTTTGAAAAATAATCACACTTAAAAAAAAAAAAAAAATTGAATAATGTCATTGGCTTGACAGTCAGGTCGTGAAGAGACTTTTTCATTCAGGGGCATCTGAGGACATTCCGTCTATGACAGAGGATCTGCACTTAATCGCTTTAAAAGCAGTAATTAGGTGTTAAGAGGCAGTCTTGTCTGTTTAAATTAGCGTCTGAGTGGCCAGATTACACTCTTTAACTTTGTGGCAGGCCTCCTCTTGTTTGCGTTGTCATGTGTGCCACCGAAAGGGTAAAAAAAAAAAATACAAATGCTGCCATTCAAGAACATTTAAAATCCCGTCCAATCGGACCATAGGAATAGTTTGTCTTTGATGAAATAGGGTCTATTTATGTAGACCCTACGTGTCTACTCAATTTAATTTTGGCTTCGGGGGCATCATTTTTAAACAAGTACACGTGGTGCTGCTGCTACCACCAAGCAAAACAATGAAGTTGGATGCATTTAAAGTGGCAGTCAAGGCAATTTTTTTCAACCGGACGGAACAACGTTAAACATAAATACAGCTCAGTCACTTTCCCTGAATGTAGGCAGTTGGAATCTTGCATCAGTAATGAAGTCATGATGCACACAACTCATGAGAACAATGTTTGTATTTTTCTTTTAACATATACTGTATGTATGAGTGTCTAATTTACTCAGTGCAGATGAACAAAACGTGGCGTGGCCATCTCAAATGAATTATGTGAAATCAAATGCTTAACAAAAAAAAAAAAGTTATTACAGTAATCACGTTTCCACTTGGTATTTGTTTTTGATGAGACGAATAGGCTCCATTCCGATATGTTCAAAGCTGTAGACCCCACCCCAATGTTTCCTCGACCTAATAAAAATAGGGGGGGGCCCTTCTTTTGTCCACGATAACCCAAGACTAAAATTGGGCAGTAGTTTGTGCGATCTAAACCCAAAATGGTCCTGCAAAAAGTCAGAGTTCCAGGGTAAGAAAACAGTTCCTGCGTCGCCGCGGTTTGTAAACATGAACTGGAGCAGCCCAGAGGCCCCCCCCCCCCTCTA